CATTCAAGTGTTGACACGTGGCGTTTAAAACAACAAACAAAAAAAAAAAAAAAAACAAAACAAAAAACAAAAAACTCTTTCAGCAGGTCACCGGTCATTGGGACTATTAGAGGCAAACTGACCCCATAGTTGGGATTATTAGATACTAAAACTTAGTTGGAATTATTAAAAGTAAATCGCCTATAGTTGAGATTATTAAAAGTATTTTTCTTTTTTCTTAAAATTTATCTATCTGAATTTATTTTTCTTGAAATAAATTGTTATGAATTAAATTATATAGCCTTAGCTTCAAGACTTTTTGGGTAGGAAAAAGATACGTATAGAAATAAATATAAGTAAAAACCCATGAAATAGGTAAGAGATGGTAAAAGATTGAATTATTTGCCATGTAAAAGAATAAAACAATAGTAGAAAAATATAAATAAAAAATCAAAATCAAGGGAGTATAGGTATAATGTTATTTATACTTGTAAGATGTATATTTTTTTTTTAAAAAAAATAGTGCTTGGTTACACTGTTATGTAGTGGTTTGATTATCATAATTATTTAAGTGATTTAACCATTTTATTTTTTATGAAATGGATATAATTAACTAGTACTCTTTTCATTGATGCATGATTACAGAGTATTTATTAATTGCATGTAACTATTACTCCCTTCATTCTCATATGTTTATATAATCATTCGACGTATTCCTCAAGTAACAACTTTGGCTGTAGATATTGTCTTTATCTAACATTGGTGCATTTATCGATAGATTAATTGATAAATTAACTTATTTAACATTATAAGTTAATTTTTCACATTTTAACCAATTACATCTATAATGGAGTAAAGCTTTAATTTAATGTCTCTACCAATGCATATCAGTCTATGACTATCTACTTCGTATTTGTCTATAATTTGTACCTTATTTGAACGTGTCACACCATCAACTAAAAATATAACATTTTATGTATAAATACATCTAGAAAAAAACAAAAACAAAAAAAATTTGTTATGGAACTCATAGAAGCTTCTATTTAGGCTCCACCATGTTCAGACAAATTGTAACACTCCAGCAGTAGTTGATTTTTATTTATTAATTAAAGAAAACAGAGAAAAAAGAGGAAAAGAAGAAGATAATGGTGAAAGGTAGTCAATTATAATTAATGATAAATTAAAAAAACAAACAAATGGAAGAAGGGGAAGAGGGCAACAGCGAAAGGTGAGGTAGTTCACAAGACTCCCACCGCTGCCACCGCACACACTCCCATTCTCTCTCCTATTACATTGTATCCTTCAATTTATTTTCTTTAATTTTTTTATTATATATAAAAAATAAAAATAAAAACCATCTTTAGATTTATTTTTTTAATAAATGTTGAGTGCTCACACTTTTTTTGTTTTTTGGAGGAAATTGACACACACATCTTAATCCCTTTATGGTTTCACTTTCCTTCTTTTATTATTATAAGTTAAATATTCCAAGAGTATTAATATTTGGGACTTTCTCTATTTTGTCGCTATTTTATTGGACACAAAAATAATAAATTACTACCCCCACTTGAGCATTAATGAAACTAATAAATACGGAATACAAATTTTCTAAATATTACAAATAAATATAAAAAGTACCATAAGCTTTTGAGTTTTGTATACAAACCTAGTACATTAAGAAAGATTAACGGCCTTTAAATGTTTGAATAAAATATTTTAGTTTTCTTTTGAAGGTAAACGGCTAGGTATTTAATTAGGACAATGATATTCCAATCAAATAAATCCCGTTAATCTCTGGTTGTAGCAAAAGCATAATTCAATAAGCAACTTTTGTGTGCCACGGTGGTCAGCTGACACACACCATGTAAACCTTGACCGATGAGTAATCCCTGACCGATTAAGTAACCCCTAACCGATCAAGCAATTTTTGATCGAGTAACCTCTGACCGACTTAGTAACTCCTGACCGAGTAACCCTTGACCGAGTGAATAACCCCCGACCGAGTGAATAATCCCTATAGCACTAACAAATTAACCCTATAATGGTTGGCCACACTGTATTGTCGGACACATATAAAAGTTTGCTTAATTCAATATTTTTTTTCGACCCTATCATATTAAAATTTCTCATAAGTCAACTCGATCAATCTCAACTCTCAAATTTTTCTTAATGAATATCAATCCTAAAATCTCATGATTATAATCCTTACCACTAAACCAAATTCTACATGATTAATACTCATAATAGTTAATTGACTTACTTACAATAGCTAGTTGATTTCATTAACCAAATTCTACATGATTAATACTACTTACATTAGCTAGTTGATTTCATTAACAGTTTTTACGGTTTGTTGTAAGCTACTTCCTCCGTCCCTTAACTACGTGCCTATTTCCTTTATTATGTGAGTAATAAATGTTAGAAATAAGTACGTTGTTCAAGGACGGAGGGAGTATTTACAACATGTGATTTGACTAACTAATTGCATAACCGGTTAGTTGATTACATTAACAAAGTACTTGTTATGTACGATAAATACAGAATACTTTCTTTGTTTCTCACTACTTTCTCGTTTATACATTTTGATTTTTACATTAATCATATTAACATATTTTACCCTTTTTTTATCGACCATTCTCATGAGTTAAGTTGATTGGTCAAACCATCTCCTTTTTCCAATCCCCTGAATCCAAGGTGAGTTGCAATAGAACTATGAAGAGGGATTATCTTTGGTGATTCCTACCAAAAAATGGACACGCAAATGGTGAAACGTACGGTATCAATTGAATTTGAAAAAGTATCACACACCTGGTTTAGCATTAACGTAGGATAAAATAAAACACCATCAATAACAGGAAATATTATTTTATTTACGCATAGGTTTCTACCAACACGATACCCACCCCCCATCCTAGGTACTTGAGCTAACTCATCCAAAAAAAATATCATCAAACCATAACTAATTCATCAATCTAAAAGGAAGTGAAGTAATCACTTGTTTAATTGTTTTGATTAGTGTGATAAATCACTCAATTTCACCACCTACCTAAATTCATAATGATTAAAAATATCTTACTGAAAGTGAATACTAATGTGTCAAAAAAAAAAAAAAAAAAAAACTAATGTGTCAAATGATGAACAAGGTAAACAACTAACCGACATTAAACCTAAAGGTGTATTCTATTCACATGAGCTTATTTGAAGTTTAAACTGATTAGCCATGGAACTTATTCTTTTTTAAAGTCAGTCAATCCAAATAGACCTAAGACTAACCAGATGATTCATCACCTGAATATGACTCAATCCAAACCACTTGACTCTCACCTCGAATATTTACTATTTTCAAAGTCATTGCCCACCCACAAACCCCATGAATCACATTAGACCTATTGACAGATTTGCCTAGTGTCATAAACTTTATATGACCTAGAATCAACCCATCCATGTCATATAAATATATAGTACACCTGTAGCACAATAGATTTGCATAACCTAGTGCAATTAATTCATGCATATACCCAACTTCCTCCATTCAAGAGTAAATACTCTACTTATTAAAAACAAACGAACTTTTAGGGAAAAGTTATCAGAAATAAAAAATACAAGTCAGAAATTATTATTGATAAAAGAATTGAACAACATGACTGACAACTCAAAACACTAGAGTAAAAACCTTCCTACCTATTCTATAGAACAAGTTGCAGTGAAATTAATTAATTTGATAGTTTAATTAAGATAATTGCTTAAAACAGATAAAAAGTAATTAAAAATTCAATTAAATAGAACGACTGCAACAACTGAAGAGAACAGAAGAGGGAGCAGCAGCATCTTTCTTTCCTATTAATAGCAACAAGAATCTAGTCAAGATTACAATGCCTGCATCAATTGCCGAGAGATTATTTCACATGTACTCCTACTATGTACTTGTACTTACTATACTATCCGACATTATTATTTTGTCTCTGTAATACCTTTGTTATTATGTTCAAATGGATAATAAGCCAACATAACTTAATACTGTTAATTAAATAATCTTATGATCTGTTTAATTAAACTATTCTGAGACGGATGGAAAAAGAAGTGTTCAAAATATTCTCCCATGAAAATTAACTACGGACGGGTAAACATTTTATAGAAGATGGGTGAAAATGTACGACACGGGAAAACCCAGGGGTAGGGGCAGGGCATTTGGGGTTTACTTTGTTTATTGCTAGCTTAGGTGCTAAAATCTCGAGCTAAACTTGGACCATCTACAGGCTCAAAGGATTCTTCAACCATCTCAATCAGCAACTAGTAAGTTTCGCATTAAAAAAAATGATCAACTACTTGATTAGCTTGATAAGCAAATTATAATACAAGTTGGTACATTCACCTGTAAACCAGAACACACACGGTACTCATTGTACCCGTACCCGTATCCGAAGTTCATACAGTAGAATGTTACAAATGTAATTTATTGAGAAAATCAAAAGCAAGACAGCATAGTACTCAGTTTATTGTTTCAGAAATAGTTTCCCAGCTTTGTACCAGTTTAGTCAAGGGAAAAAAGAAACACCTTAATTGCTACTACTTGGACAGAAGAACATACTAGTACATTTCAATATTTCACCGACAAAATTTTTCTACACAAAAAAGCAGCACTTATATAACCGTTGAATTATCTACCAAATGTCAAGAGTAGTTGGTAATTACCTAGTTGATCAAAATGCACTCGAAATATCGATGTAAACTAGCTTAATTAGTAATAAAGGCTTTTTGGTCAATACTCAAGACCTCGATTAAATCCCAATTACTCGAATATCACTACCGTTAGGAGTGACTCTATATGCACCAATAAGTTACACTTGAAGTAGCAAAAGAACAAAGATAACACGAGCAAAAATGGAAAGAAATCATCATAATTTTATTTTTATTTTTTTCAATTTTTTTGCTTATTTCTTTTTATTGAGGGTAATAACAACAGTAACAATGAGAGTAAGAGTAGCAAATTAGCAACAAATACAAACACTTTGAGAAACTAATGATAATAATATATTCCATCATATCATGATTATACTCTCCATTACCCGATAATTGATGACAAAAGCTAGTACCCAACCTTCCATCCATCCAATTAAAGACCAAAAAAATTGACAAATTCCCCCATTTTAATAAAAATTATAAGAAAAAAAAACAAAGAACATAAATTAAAAATCACAAGGGGGAAGAAGAGTAAATAAAAAATGAACAATTAAAAGAACCGTAAAAATCATTGAAAAAAGAAAAAAATAACACGGGTGAAAGTTACCGGCGCGTGGTGTGAACGTACAAGTCGTAAGGCGCCCAAAGCGAGTCCAAAGGACAAGCGTTACGGGCGTCGAGTCGCAACCATGGCTTCCCGGAGCCACTCCAATGGAGAAGAGATACCGGACCAGGGTGTAAATCTCTGCAACTCCCTCTTACATTGTCACCTCCTAATCCATGTTGGTTCCATCGATGTTCGATTGGAGCTACATGTCCGGCAAACACCAATAGGAACGGTGGCAATGAGCCGAGCTCGTAGATCCTTTCTTTCCTTTGAATTTCCATCCACCTTTCAATTCTTCTTGTGTAACCTTGCGCCCTCCATTTTACAAGATCAATTACCATTACCCCTGTGTTGAAGTAGCATGGTTTCCGGTTTTTGAATGTGCCGGAATACCGGGGTTGTGACCAGAATACCGGGGTGAAGTACTTGGTGAAGTTGGCGTGGCAGTATTCCGGTGCCCCGATTGTCTTGTACCCGAGTTTCGTGTTCCATAGCTTAGCAATGTCGTCGACAAGAATGAGATCGGAGTCGAAATAGATGACGCGACGAACGCAGGGCTCGAGCAGGGAAGCGAGGTAATTCCTCGCGTAATTCAAGGGTTGTTCAAGAGCTTGACGAACAGAGGTCGATATTAACGGGCGAACGATGCGATCATCGAAGGTGTAGAGCTTGAATTTGAGGTTAGGGAAGGTGGATTTCACGAGACTCTCGAGGTTTCGAGTTTCGTGGGAGGTGAGAAAATGGAAGAAAACATTCTCCGGACAGAAAGAGTGTTGCAAGACGGAATGCACGGCGGCGATTGACCCACGGAGGTAATCGACGTCAAGGGTGATAGCCACGTGGACCAATGAGGGGTCACAGACGCTAGAATGAGTTGTTGAACGACATTCATCGGCGTTGCGAAAAGCCGGGGAGCTTCGGAATGAAAATCGATGATCTAAAAATGGCGAAGATGATCGAATTGCTTCTGCTGGTGGGAAAGATTGAAGGGAAGGAGATAAAATAATCATGATTAATGCGGCGGAAAAGAAGCCGGAAAATCGAAGAAGCCACTGCATTTTAACGGTCTGATTTGGGGAAAAAATTGAAAAAACTAGGGTTCTGGTTCTTCTTGTTTCTATTCTTCCCAAAATCTGCAAAAAAAATCAAAATCTCCCATCAAACAAAAATTAGGGTATTAATCAAAATTCATTACAAACTAACAAAATTCAAATTGTATGATATTATGGAATTGAAATGCGTGGATTACCTGAAATGAGAATCCGAATCTAATTTTTATAATGGTGAAATTAAATTCTCTCTCCTCCTTCTAGAAGAAATGGGAAGGAGAGAGAGGGAGGAGGGAGAGAATCCATGAAGGCGGCGAAAGTGGTGGTGGAGGTGGTGGTAAGGGCGGTGGTACAACCCCACCCAACCACTGTAATTGATGATGATGGTTGATTTTTCTCTCTCCTCTAACTTTATATTTTTGTGAATAATAATTTATTTATTTATTTTGGTTAAATTAGTGATGTACTCCGTAGAATAAAATTAAATGGGGGTATTTTCTGAATTTCTCTCTCTTGAAGGGGGAGGAGAGAGAAAGAGGGTGAGAGGGGTGAAGGTGAAGAGCAGCAGAGAAGAGAGTGAAGATGGGAGGAGAGAGAATGTATATGTGAATTGTAATTTCCAGGTTGGATATTAAAATGTGGGGGGTATGCTTTGCTTTTCTCCACCATAGAATTGGGTTCCATCCTTAAGTAGCGCATTTTTTTGTTAATATAGTTATTTGTTCTTCTAATCTAACTATACTCATGGTTGTTTTGGTTTTTAGTTTTTGGTCTTTTGCTTTTCCAACTCCGTACGGTTTATAGTTAAGCAAAGGGTTAGCCTAGTGAAAAGGAAATCATCTTTCAACCTTAAATTTGTAAATTAAATCTCTAGATTTCGACTATGGGCACTTTCAGTGAAAGACATCCCTTATCCAACACATAATTCTTAAATGTTTAGCCAACTAATGAGTTGGGTTGACTCGTGTGAGTTTGTCATATCCACTCTAATTCGATAAAATATCGTATAAAATAATAATTAAACAGCATTGATTTCGAGTTTATATTATATATTAAAAAAAAATTGAGTAATTGATATTCTTCTTGATTATTGTATAATAATTGAGAAAATACAAGTTTCTCAACCTGAGAAACCTGCTAAAGATCTCAAAGGGGGAAATTTATTATTCAGCCGATAAGTTTGGGTTAAATTTGGCTAACAAATCAATGTATTCAAGCATAATCAAAAGACCTTCGATGGAGATACAAAGAACATTACTAGAGAAACTTGTATTCAATGGAGAAATCGAACACGACAATGAGCTTCAATGGAGGAGGTAGACACCCCTACCTCTTTTAAGACTAACCATTCCATTTTTTTTAGGGTTTTTGTTTAACCAAAAATATGGTGATGAAGTTGAAGATAACGAAGCTTTCCTTATATGAGGATTGATACCTTAACCTAGTAGAGGCCTATTAGGTAGGACTTCTTGTCCTTTCACCAAAGCAAATCCTTGCGGGCTAGGTTTCTAGAGGACAATATCTAATAGTGGGCTCATGTTGACTTGGGGTATTACAATAGCAAACCGACATCACTATCTCCCAGTGCCACCAAGACCTATGAATATCGATCACACATATGTAGCCGCCACTGCCAAATATCCTTTCTCCTACATATCTTTCTCTTCTTGCAACCATAACTGCCACCACCTTGCATCCCTTTCGCCCCTTACCACCCTCTTTCAACCATTCTTTTTCCTATCACTCTTTCCCCATGCGCATTTGACATCTCTCTCTCTCTCTCTCTCTCTCCCCTCCTCAAACACAACATCATGCAACCACCCTATTTAAGTCGTCACCCAGGCCGAAAAATGGCAGATTGGTGGTGGGATGATGGAAATGGTGGTTGAGGAGGTAAAGGAGAAATTTTAAGGCTTTTGATGAAGGCACGTGCTTTGCTCATGATGTTCAGAACGAAAAGTGGTGGTCAATATTAAAAGGTGGCGAGCAACAGTCGGAATATTGGAAAACAATCCTAGTCAACAACAAAACGCGCTTTTAAAGACCTAAAGGAGCGCTTTCCCTTAATAATATTAATAAACGATACAATTCTCAAATTACAGTCCATCTTTTTATAATTTCCCAATCCACCGCGTCAATGAGGAAAAACGCTTTGTTGTTTTTCTTTTTCAAAAGAAAATCGCTTTATGAAGTAGGGATTTATAAGCCTGAAAACATTTATGAGCCTAAAAACCACAACTTCAAGTAGCAATTTCCATTTGAAAAGCCTCTACTTAAAATTATAACCTTTAAAACCATCTACTAAGCCACAACCGATATTTGAAGTAGCATGTAAAAAAATAAAATGTGACTTGGACGGTAGAATAAAAAAAATTACGATAGAGCGAGAAACCGTATTTTGAAAATTAAACCATTTAGTAGCATTAAACAAAATTTCTCAATTAAGTCAAGTTTGAATTGAAAAGGAAAACAAAAAAAAAACAAAAAAAACAAAAAAAAAAAAAAAACAAAGAAAAAAAGCAAAACAAAACAAAAAATTGGAATTCAAACTAATAATACGTGATGAAATGATCACAGAAAATGGATCAAAAAAAGAGTAGGGCATCGTTCGGTTGACAAAGGGAAATAAATTCCCATAGGAAGTTATATTTCATGGGAAATTATTTCCCAAATGAAATTCCTAGGAATTTCTTTAATTTATTTGGTTGTGCCAATGGAAAGTTGGAATTCCCATAAATTTTGAATGACCAAGGGGGAGCTAGGTAATTTACTTCCTACATTTTGTGGGAAGTGGAAATTCCCATGAATTTCAACTTCTCGGGAATTTCAACTTCTCCCATTTTTGTTTTTTTTTGTGTCAACCAAACAACTATCCAAATTACAAAATTCCGTGAATGTTCACTTCCCTCATTTTGATTTTTCAACCAAACAACCCCTGGATGTAATTGCTCAATGTTGCTGAGAAAATACGTGGACAAATACAGTGGTCAGTGAAGTATTAATGTGAGGATAGGCAGTCATTTCCACTTTGAAATTTCTGTGCTGGTGCTCGTGGAGGTCAGAGGAACTGCCAGCGTAGAGTTGTAATAGCAAAATCCAAATATCTAAGCTCATCTAACGATAAAATTTAAAATTGTCTTCAAATTGAATAAGTAAACATTTATTTGGCATAACTTCCCTTGCTAGATCTTTTCGATTCAGATATCCGAGAGCCCGAGAGGCGAGAGTCAAAGACAGCTTTCGACTCCCGGAAATTTTTTCATCTTATATCTGGGAGTAAATTTTAAGTACTTAAATGTTATGCTTTCTCTTACATAATAGGGTAAATAGTAATTACTTTATAAACGGGCTTGAATCACATCCATTATAAGTGTTTAATTTATAAGTCTAAGAAGATTACATCTCAAAAGCATATGACAATGAAGGGAATAATCCCTTACTCTTATAAGGTGGATACAATATTCTCTTTTTCTTTAATGTGGAATACATATTTCAATACCCACTTTTACTTTTACACTAGATAAATGTTTCCAATACCCACTCTTACTTTTACACTAGATAAATGTGGGACAACACTTCCACTCATATGTAGGTTTGCTCATGGGCTGAACGCTACTCCTATAGTCTAATAGTCCTATGTGTTTTTCCTTGCATAGTACTAGAAAAAGAATGTAAGATTGTGTAATTTTACATCGGTGTATTATGTACACCTTAATGCCTTTTCTAAGTTGTGTTTATTATCACAGTATGTCAGTACTCCATCCATCCCTAATTGTTTGTCCAATATCTACAGTTATGATATGGACAATTTAAGTCAACAATAAATTAAAAAAAAAAAAAAGAAAAAGAAAAAGGGGAACTAATTGACATCCAAATCATTAGCCTCTGTTATGACCACGTCCCCATTCATCTCCTAGATATACAAAACTTGTACTCCCTCCGTTTTTAAATACTTGCTCCACTTTTCATTTCCGGCTGTTTTTAAATACTTGCTCCATTTCTTTATTGAGAATGCTTTTACAATATTTAATTCATTTCTCACGTAATGAACTCAACATAAATTATATTTTATTAATTTCATAATCTCTTTCCTCCAATTCTCTCACCTCCAATTCTCTCTACTACTTTTGTTTTTTTTTACAATTTTTTATCCTTCCACCTACCCCACTACCTTCATATTTTATTACTTTCTCCAATTTCTCGTAAAGCTCGCACACGAAAAAATGGAGCAAGTATTTAAAAACGGAGGAAGTATAAACGTCATAAAGCACTTAGTGCTGATTAAAATATTATAAAAGTTGGAAAAGGTTAGTGGAAAGTAACAAGCGTGGGCCCAACATGTGATTTAACGCCGGTTACTTTTGGTTTTACGTTAGTAGTTGAAAACCATTGTTAGAGTATTTCCCTGTTGCTTGATTTTCTCCGGTGAAAAAATTTCTGGTTAGCACTAGTTAACAGACGTCAAGTCCTTCGTTATTACCAATTGCAACGTACAGACAAAAATACGATTCTGCCCTCGCAACTAAACGAGAAAATTACGATGCTAGCCCTGGATAAACAAAACTTGTTTATCTAGGGTATAAACTTGAATTTTCTCCTTTATTATAATGGGCAATAATTGTATGCACTTGAGGCAATAGCACGTGAGTTGCAAATACACTTTTACATTGTCAATATGATCATTTGTCAAAAAGAAAGCAAAAACAACACTTAACAAACTTGTGAGATATGAATAACTCGGATAATACGATTGCCGCGTATTCTTAGATGCACACTTATGCATCTACGCTGGCTGCACCACTTATCAAATACTCCCTTTTATACACCAAACACACATATATACTATGTACTAATGGAGTACTGGTATATATTACTTCATCTCCTTCCTTCAATCTTCTTCTTATTTTATTTCTTTTATTATTTCTTAATTTTTACATAAATTTTTCTCTTTTTTGCAAATTCTTTACTTAATTCTTAATTTTGGTTGAAATTTTCTCTCTCCACTGTGTTTGGCATTATCTTCTTCTTTTAAGATTTTCTCTCTCCTCCATTTTTTGTATTTTCGTTGATTCGTGATGGATTTAATTGGAATCTTGAAGAGATTGTTGATATAAGTTAGTTTATGTTATTGATTTGTAATTTGGTTTAATTGGTTATATTTCTAAATTTGTGATTGATATTACATATATAATTTTTGGGATATTTTCCAATTTGTAATAGGTGATGAACACAAATTGATTGTAGTACTTTTCTCTTCACTTTTCTTTCCTATAATAATTTTAATCAAAATTCATCAAAATTTCGATCATAATTTTCATCAAAATTTTATTCTCCTCTGTTTTTCCTCTTTCGTTCTTCATTTTCTCTCTCCTCGATCTGTTTTCTTTATTTTTCTCTTTTGTTTTACTTTTTCGATTGACTATGTTGCTTACTATGAAATTAGTTGTTATTCCTCAAAAGATCGTCAATGCAGGTTAGTGTTTTGTTTTGTTGATTAAAATTAGGTTTTTTTTAGGTTATATTCAATTGTAATTGTATTTTGTTTAATTTCTATCAATTTGATCTATGTATGAATTTCGATCTTTTTTGTGGTGATTTTGTAATGAATTTTGATCAATTTGATCAGGTTTGTGAACATGCAATTCATATGAATTGAATTTACAGCCTTTAAATATGAACATAAGAAAATTGAAGAAATAAAAATAAAATGATTATGAAAAATACGCATTATAAGTATTAAATATGCACTAAAAAATATGAATATATGCATTTTAGAAAATGAACATACGCATTCAA